GTCTGACCGCTTTCTTAGAGATGGCAGCCGAGGCAAATGAATCCTCAACTATAACATAGGTACACTGCCATGCTCTGTTAACAGTACGCTGCTAGTTTCACTTGATTAATCTCCAACCCGAAGAACTGAGAATGAATCTTCGCCTAATACATGGGGAAATGCATAACCATACTCTCACTTTCTGTAGATAGTGGCTCGTGTGCGTCAGACTCTACTCACAAGAAAAGTAAACTTATAATGAATCTTGATCTAGATCTCGAAAAGACACATTGGCTGATTTTTTGTTTGTTGTCCGCTATGGTGAAAAAGTGCACCTCATTTTATGTGTAACCTGCGCACACCAATCAAGAGGAAAGATGACATGTATCTCCCGTTGGAACATGAAAAGATACAGAGTCGATGCCCAATGCACTGTTGCCTGCCCTGTCAATTCAAGTATAGATATGAGAAAAAATCTTCAACAGGAAAAGGAAAATTTAATAGCACTATTCAGGACTGACCTCCGTGTTTGTATGCGTGCAATCTCTCTCCTCTCGATCTTGCTGTCTCATTCACTCACACACACACACATACATGCACTTAGTCACTTTCTCTCACTCCTTATCTAAGGCGCATAGATATGCACACATCTGTTTTTCCTTGGTCTCTCTAAGGTGCACACACATGCACGCAACAACTTTTTCTCTTATTCTCTCTCTCCCTCGCACTTACTATTCCTCTCTTACTTTCACCTACACGATCGCAACTCCCCACTCCTCTTTTTTGCACACGATCGACGATTAACACTAACTTGAATTTGAAAGTACCTGGTCGCTCTTTGGGCAGGGTGCATGTAACTTGAAAGCCAAGATCCAGACCCTCCTCTCTCATGCACCTTCACCCACGCAGTCTCAGTCTCTCCGTCACTCTAACACACGCTAGTTCACTCCCTTCTAATTGGAGCATGCATTGTCTCGTTTCGCAGCCAACTACAAATTGTCTCGTGGCACAAACGAGCACGAAAGGGAACCAACTCCAGTTCCGCTACATACCTTTCGCTCGTTCTCCCCGGGGTCAACGGACGACTGACACCTTCCTCTCTATTCTGAATGTTTTCTCAGGTCCCTTGACCCTGCTCTTTACCCGCTCGGAAGGTTTGCAACACGAATCCCAATGATTCCCTCAGCCACAACAGATGCCTCGGGAGGATCTCAATCATCAATGGTACCAGAAGTATTGGACTACAAGTATGAAAAACCAATTTAGGTTCTGAAACAGAAACCACCAACACCTATGGTAATGTTCACCGAGCAGTAGCTGTACCAAAGGTACAGATCTGGCATTCGGGCATTTTCACACCCCAAGCACAATGGTTCAATCATCCTGGAATCAGTAGTATGATTCCTGGTCTATAAATAATACACCAAAATACGGGCCTCGCTGTACCAGTCCCCTCGCAGTATCCCCCAAAGGTCGAAGAATACATCATTGATTGAGATGTCGACTATGACAGAAACCAACAGATACATGTAGATCAAACCGTCAGTCCCCCTGACATCAAAAACCTTGGGGCACTGATAGCGCCGTTTCACGACGGGTACCGGTAGTATAGAGTGAAAATCCGCACGAACCTAAAAAATGGAATATTTCACCTTCGGTGCAAAAATCGAAAATGCACAGAATTGGCACGACGAATATTTCACAGTCAAAATAAATTTTATTTTTTTCTAATATTTTTCATTAAAAGATCACGACCATTAGGGACCGTCAAATTTTCAGACATTCTGATGAATTTTTCTGAGCATAAAAAATTGGTAAAGTCGCCGCTTGCAAATGGCGGGTTTGGACCCGCCGGTGACAAACGGTCGCCGCCCCTCCGTACAACCCGGCCCTAACCCACCATAAGCGGTTAACAGGGACCCCCACTTTTTGGCCCTAGGTAACGATGAATGATTCTGTTGGATTTTTTTTTTTTGCCTGTTTTTTTATTTGGACAAGTTTTTTGTGTGCCAAATTTGATGTCATTTGGAGTATTAGAATTTGTGTTGTGAAGAGTGGTGAAAATTGTGAAAATTTGATGAGAGTTTTTTTGCCAAAATTTTATGTAAATGCATTTTTGGCTTGCTGTTTTACATGTTTTTATTTTTTGTTTTTTTGTTTTGTTTTTATAATATGTTAGTAAGAAGTGCACTCTATACATCGGTATGAAGTTTGCTTAAAATGACCTTATGGTTTTCTTATAAATTGAGGTGAAAAATGGGGGGCCGGTTAACCTCTTCTCTAACTCACAGGGCCGAGGTTTTTCGACTGTCTGGGGGACAGGCAGTTGAAAAAAATGATCTCAAACCAACCAGAGTTGAACCAATGTTGCTGTCGCCGAAATATGAAAACAATCACTTGTGAAAATTAGGCTAAGCCGCAACTTCCGTAAAACTCAGGTCCATTTGCTGCATTGTCAACCCAAATAACCGGTTGATGTGAAGACCACAAGTAGAAATGTGTTGATAATATGTCATGGTCATGATATCCTCAAGTCTCTATGCACCGTACCTGAAACGCGTGTATCTGTCTGGCCGCGAGCACACACATTACATAAGCAAAATAACCACTTTCGCGAGACGCTCATCGGGCTTATAAAGGCTAATGTAAAATGGGGGCTCACACACATGAATGGAAAGGGGTCATAATCGGCCAGCAGAACAAGCAAAATTGTGCTTACAATTAGGCGAGGCATCATTACAGAAAAAAATAAAATGAAAACAATAATTGAAAAATTTTATTATTTATTTATCATTCTTGTAATTCACTTATGATTTTTATTTTTATTTATAATAACAAAAGCCAATATTTTTTGGGGGGACATATTTAGTGGTGTAAAATTCGTCGTGCGGAACCTCACTAGTACATTCTTGACTAAAAGTCGATAGAAACGAAATAGGGGTAGAACATCCCAATACGGTAGGTGTCAAAGGGCATGTAAGCTAATACCTCCGTCAACCCCGAAAATAGGCTAAGTATTAATACTCAAGCATGCGAAAAACAAGGGTAAAGTTTATCACCCTATTACCTTGATGCACATTGGACAACCCCCCCCCCCAAATTGCGCCCACTTAGCCTGTACTAATTTCAAACTTTCAAATTCAGGTGGCTGACTAACTTTGGCCACCCAAAAACGATACCACAATGAATATTTTTATTAAAAAAAAAATCAATAAGATAAGAGGTGAAAAGTGCAACTAAATATATATAACGATATATATATATATATATATATTAAAAAGTTTATTGCCTCATATTTTTTAATGTATGCTACCACTATATTCTAAAATTTATGACGCAATTGATACTCATCCTTGTGTGATGCTATAAGCGCACATGTGCACGCCATCATGAAAACGTCATGCAAAATGTTTTAAGTTAATAAAGTCCAATGTACACCTATATCAATATTATCATAATAATGTTTACGTCCATAATCAGTGGGGAAAAAATGTGAGAGGAAGAGAACATGTATAGTTTTAAAAACTATAATTTGCAAGAGAAGTTTGTTCAGTCTGAAACTACTTCCGCATATCTATGTATCGAGATACATGTCATCATAAAACAATACATGGCCTTACCATTATCAAACATTAATGTCATTCATTTTGTAGACATGCTAAAGTGGCGGGATGAATATAATTGTGAACCGTTTATGATGTCACTGTAATTGCAGTGATGAAGTGACTGTAGTCATGAGGTGGCTGTGATGGCAACATAAATATGATGGTTAGGTGACTATCATGCTGACATGGCTATAATAATTACAATAGCGTAAAAAATAATAAAAATAATAGATATAATAATTAACATACTTTGGAAGAACAATATAGTGTAGTTAAAAAGAATACAATACGGGTTAGGAGTAGTGGTAGGGAGGTAGTGTGAAGTGAAATTGAGAGAATAATGTGGCTAACTTAAAAATAAATAATAATAATAAAACCCCTATAATATGGAAAAATGTGCAGCATACATATAAGTGAACTTTACATTTTCATTCTCAAATATCAAAACGTTATTCATCTTGATTGCTTTCTGCAATTTTGTTAAAAAAAAAAAACAGAAAATACAAATACTAATGACTAAAATAAAAAAAAACGTACGACGAACATCACACCCCTTCATAAAAATCAAACCGATAAAAATGCAAATATAATGAAAATAAATTTGAAAACCCGAATGACTGGAAAAATCAAACTAATACATACTCATAAAACACATTTATGGATTAATCTTGCAATCCATAATTCAAATGTCGTCATTAGTCTTATTTGAAAAAAGAATGATGCAATGAATCGAGTTTTCCATTGTTGCCGCATGTGCATGCGTATGTTTATATGTTGCACTGCACTAGAACCCCAACCTTAGGGCTGTGCGGAAGTTTCAGAATGGGCTATATTGAATAATGATGTGCTATTGCTCACAAGGCTCTGTTTGGATAAGGCACTTCTCATTACCGATAGTGCCTTTATAGTAATCTGCAGACAAAATCTGTGGTGTTGGTGTAATCAGACAGGATTTGAACTCACATGCTGTTTCCTACTGATTACATCCGTCTGGGCACTGCCAAGTTTCTCATAACCAACCCATTGCCCATCCCAGTGGTGCGGTGCCAACGCATTGCCCATACCAGTGGTGCGTTGCCAAAGCATTGCCCGTACCGGTGGTGGGGTGGGTGGTTGGTCCTCCACTGGATTACGCTTGTCCCATTGCCGCTCTTCTTTTCGGACAGCATGGAGCCGCCCGGAGTCTGGCGTGGAGTATCAGTGTGGCTTTCCGCAAACCCAAATCCGAATGTCAAGCTGAAGCCCGAACCTAGGGAACCAACCGTGGGTTGGAGTGTCGACCTAAAAAACGAAAGAACTGGAAGAACCGTGCAGTGTTAGCTGAGCTCTCCCAACCTCAACCCTAGAATAGTTCTGCGCTGAAAAGAGGATTGCGTAAGAGGCGTGGCGGATTTAGCGAAAAGTCTCGCGGACACCTGCGGCGCGCCTCGCTTCGACAGCCGCTCCATAGCCGGCGGCTCATTCTCGGTAAGCAAGGTAGGCCGCACTGCTGCGTCTCTTTTGTGCCCTGCTACCCGCCTTCTCGTCCGAATTCTCCCTGACGATGAGTGGAAAGAAACGGGTAGTGAATTTTGTGTGTGTATGCGTGTGTGTGTGTGTGTGTGTGTGTGTGTGTGTGAGAGAGAGAGAGAGAGAGAGAGAGAGAGAGAGAGAGAGAGAGAGAGAGA